GCAACCCCCCCCCCAGAGCCATTACCCTTCTCACCCCCGCAACCATGGCCCCTTTGCACCCCCCCATCCATCGAGAAGACACCCCAACCTCTTCCCTACCCTCCAACCACCATTTTCCTCCTTCCTCCCCCCCGTCCCCAGCTACTGCGGCTACTTCCGCCTGACGCAGGTAGGCCCCCCCTGCCGCGGGCAGGCCTGGAGCCGCCAGCTACACCGGGACAAGCGGGTGTGCGTCGAGTGCCGGGGGCACGTGTCCCACCGCCATCCCCATTGCACTGGACATGGGCTGCAAGGAGCCAGGTAGGGGGTAACCGGGGGGACACACATCCCTTCGGAGGCGGAATGTGTCCCCCCTGCCATGGAGGAGCATCTCTCCTTACCCCGAAGGCATCTTCCTTTTATATTCTTCATTATAAATATATTTACGTATAAAACGAATATTATATTATAACACACCACGATATTATAATATGCCATAATAATATAAGGTAAATCAATAATATGTACTATAAATCAATAATATATAATATAAAAATAAATACATTTAAATAGAATAGAATAGAACATTTCAGTTGGAAGGGACCCACAACGATCATCTGGTCCACCTGCCAGTATGTATTATTACCTATATAAGTAACTATATATAATTTTTTAAATTGTATTTAATTATCAATGCACACCCCAGCTCTCACCAGCTTTCCCTTCCAGGACATTTTGGGTGGCCGCCTCCATGGTGGGGTGCCAGGGCTCGTGGGTGCAGGAGGGGCTGCAGGAGGGTTGTGTCTGCTCCCCACCGGCTCTCATCTTCGTGTAGCATCCCCCTGGGAAGGTGAGCTGAGCCTCCCCATACCGCTGCTCCTTGCTGGGGAGGCAGGGAATGAAATAAAAACATGGTGCCTTTTATAATTTCACCCTTCTGCAGGCTTGCGGCTCACCCTTGGAGCTGACTTCCTGCATTTTCCATTAAGTATTTTGTTGAAGAATGGGAAGAAAGCACTGCTTATAAAGATTAAAAATAAGGGAATTGCGAAAGTATTGTGATTAATGGTGAAAGACCATCACGCCGAGGTTAAATTCGGGTGAGAAGGTGATGTGATGGTGACATGAGAAGACAACGTGATGATGTCACACTGAGCAGTGACATCACGCCATGCAACGAGCTGCCATTGGCAAGCAATGTGAGGATGGAGACAGCATCCTTCCTTCACGCTGGCCCAACTGCAGTGAACTGTCGGGCGAGCTGTGAAGGGCGGCTTGGCTGCGTGCTGTGGTTTGCAGAGAGAAATTAAATGTAGGCACCCCAAGTCTGCACGTGGGTGATGATGCTGGTGGGTGTCCAGGTCCAGCCGCGGGGCTTAGCAGTCCCCACTGGAGGGAGCGGGGCCGGACTGGGTGATGCTGGGCTGTGCTGGTGCCCTTCCCCACTCCTCACCCAGCATGACGTGGGGCCCCCAGTTCAGCCTTGGCCGGTGGTCCCCACAGCCAAGACGCTGTGCCAGCAGCCTCGGCACCTGCCTGCTCCCCCAAACCACTCGCTGGGTGACTTCACCCCCACCCCAGCCAGGCACAGCACCGGGCGCTTGTCCTGCAGAGACCACCTCTATTCCGACATGGCCACCTGCAGCGACCAGCAGTGCCCGAGCCCCACGCTGCCGTGGCCGAGACACCCAGGAGCTCTGAGCCGTTCAACACCCCCAGGGAAATGGAGCCGGGGTGCCAGTGGGGTCCCCGTGGGCCAGAGCAGCCCACAGCGGAGGGCGGCAGCGCTGCTCTGGCCATGCAGGAGCAAGCCCGAGGTGACCTTCAGCATCACGGGGGGGCCACTGGCAGCTCTGAAGGCCGAGGCCGAGAGCAGCAGGTCTGGCAGCCCCAGGCCAGGCTTGTTGAAGAAAGCAAAGATGTGGAAGAGCTTCTCCTGGGGCCGCTGGCGGAGCAGCGGGTGCTTCTCCAGGGCCAGCTCCCTGCGGGCGTCGATGACCATGTTGTGCCACTTCTTGCGGATCTCGTCAGGCGTGTGCCGGACCAGGGGACCGAGGGAGTTGGTGGCGGCTGTTATCTCCTCCCAGGCACGCTGCCAGTCCGGCGTGTTCTCGTACTGGCCGCTCTTGGGGATCAAGATGTCCTTGCGGAGGCTGAACTCGTCCAGGATGAGGAACTTCCCCTCCTCAGGGAATTTGATGCACTTCAACTTAGCCACGCTCATGCTGCCCCTGCACTGGGCAAGCAGGACGTGAGGATGAGGATGGGTCAGGGTGTGCTCATCCCGAGCACCGCTCCGTCCCCCCCGTCTGGGGCACTCTGAGCTGGGGCTGCAGCACTGCTCGGGGCTCAGCAATACCAGCTGTCCTGGGGGTGCTGATGCTGGCGTGTCCCCCCACCAGTGCTTCCCAAGCCCAGACACCTGGCAGGGTCCCTCACTGCTGCCGGTGCTGGGCAGACGGCCCCGGGGCCGGTACCGGCGTGGGGGTACGACGACGTGGGGTGCTGCCGCCCAGGGGCAAGGAAGGCTCAGCCGGGCTCTGCGTCTTCACTCTCGCCCCGAGGGTGTCCATGGGGGTTTGCTGAGTTTGGGGTTTGAGCCTCCACGGCTGCGGCTGGTGGCTGTTTGCTGCCCCACGATACGTTCAGCTCCTGCCCGCCTCCCGCTGCTGCAGCCTCCCCCTCTCCCACCGCCTCTCCTGAGCAGGGAAATTAAAAGGCTTCAATGCTGAGGATGTTCTTGGCCGCTTTATTTGGGATAAAAGCCCAGGTCAGCCATGAGCTAAAACGTTGATTAAAAAAACAGGTGGTGGGAGTCAAGCGGCACAAGGGGGTGCGAGGGCTCCGGGGCGCGTGTCCCCTCCTCCCAATCAGACCTGAGGGCAGGGATGCCGTGGGTAGGAACAGGGGCATGGGCCAGGGCGATGGTGCACTGGTGTCCTCAGGATGGAGAGATAGAAAACATTGGGAACAAAATGAGCGTGTCCCACTCGGCGAGTGGGGTTCCCGAGTTACACCACCGAGCCCACAGTCCTGGCTGGCAGCCAGCCAAAGCATCCAACAAATGGAGGGATGTGGCAGCACAAACCAGGAGCCTCGTGGCTGCGGGGCTTGGCACGATGCCGCCCCTTGCCCGGAACCATCAGGCAGCTTTGGTTGGTGGTCCTGGCTCTCTCGGCACATCACCCTGGCTCAGTGTGGGGGCCAGCCCATGCTGTGCCAGCAGCCCCTGCACCACCTCAAGCTCCTGCTCCAGCTCCTGGGGGCTGCAGCCCAGCCCCGGCACGGCAGCGGCACTATCCCCCAGCACACGCAGCACCTCTGCTGCCAGCCGGGCTCTCACCAGCAGCACGGCCACGGCCACGTGCAGCTTGGCACAGGCCAGCGCCTTCATCGCCCAGCGGGCAGCAGCCTCTGCGGAGAGAGCGGGCAAAGGAGCCATCAGCGCGGCGGGCTCCCCCCAGGCAGAGCTGGTCCAGGGGACAAGGACGCCAGCTTGCCTGTCCCCGGGGGGCTTCGTGCCGCCCCGCTCCCCCTGTGCCGTACCTCGGCTCCAGCAGCGCTCGCAGTATCGCAGGTCACGCAGGACGCTGGGGCCCGCGGCCGACAGCCAGCGCAGAGCCGAGGCGTGGAGCAGGCTGCCGGCAGGCGCCTTCTCCAGGAGCTGCAGCAGGACGGGGAGCAGCTGCCGCGCCAGGACGGCCGGCTCCGCAAAAACGTTGGGTTCGTCCTCCTTGTACAGGCTGGCGGCTCTGGGGGGGCAGCCGAGGTGCAAGCGAAGCTGAGGGCTGGCCCCACGGCACCCTGTGCTCCCTCGTACCCAGCCCGGGGGTCTGGCAACTCACTTGTTGGTCTCCAGCTCCTCCACGATGCCCCTGAGATCTAGGATGGGGAGGTGCTGCAGCAGCGAGTTGAAGGTTTCGGGGTGCTCCCCAAACTCTGCTAGGAGGAGCTGCAGGAGGCCCAGGAGCCCCATGTTGTCCTGCACAAAGACACAGCTGTCTGGGAGCGACTCCCCGGGGTCCGGCCACAAGAGGCTGGCAAAACCCGAGGCCTCGTGCCGGACCTCCCGCTCCTCGTCTTGCAGAAGGTGAATGCCCACGTTTATCAGCCTGGGGAAAGGGAAGAGAAAGGAAGGGAAGGGAAGGGAAGGCCACTGCACTCCCCAGAGCATCCCCAGCCTGCCTGGAGAAGAGGGAAGGATGAGACCACCCCGGCAATGCTTCCCTGAAGGACTTTTCTCCACAGTCACTGCCAGAGAGCTCACTGCTTGGGAGAGCAGGGACCGTGATGGAGATCGAGGGACCCATCAATGCAGTTTATTGCTCATAAGAGACTGTCTGCTTCTATTAAAACGCCACCCACAAATTTTTTTTGTAGGCTGCAGGCTCTTAGGTGTTTGTGATTTTTGAATGAGCGGAGTTTTCTTTAATGCCCTTGAATTTTTTGCAAAGGATATTGCTTTTCATAGGGTCAGCCTATTAACCTGCAACACCCTGGGGCTGTGGGGAATGCTGCTCCCACAAGGACATACCGCAGAGCCACGGGGACAAGCGAGGGACAGGCAGCACGCAGGGATCGCCGCACCACGTCGGCACCCGCCATCTGCAGGGACCGGGCAGCCGCCAGCCGCAGCACCTCGGATGAAGCAGACCGGCTGCACTCCTCCAGCGCTGCGCACCATCGCTCGACCAGGGGACCATCCTTGGCCCCAACCCTGTCAGGAGCCAGGGAAGGAGAGGGAATTCAGGCACACCTTCCAGCTCTGTCCAGGGATCCAAAGGCTACCGGCTGCCCCGAGACCACAGGACCCAGACGCAAAGCTGTGATTTCTAGGTGAGGAATCGTGGCTCCGTTTCCAGCAAGGACTAAGGAGAAATCTCCTGGAAGGTTCAGGCAGAGCCCCCCGGCAGCAGCAGGGACCTACCGGTGGGCGAGCAGCAGGCTGGCGGCACACAGTGCCTGGAAGAGGAGGTCGGGGCCAGGACGCTCAGCCTCCACCATGTGTAGCAGCATCTCCAGGCATACTGCCGAAGAACCCTGGAGCTTATGGGAAGCTTCCTGGGACCACAATGAGGGATCTCTGTAAAGATGCAGCAAAGCCTCAAGGTACAATCTCAGGAACTCTTTGTCCCTTCTCTCTCGCAGCACCGACCCCAAGTTCTCCTAGTTGACAACGGGAAAGAAGATACACGGTTAGTTGCCCCGGCACTGTGGGGTGGCAACCTCAACACAACCAGGGGAGTGCCCTGCACCCACGCGCTCAGCTGAGGGAGCACCATGCTTCTCAGTGAGCACCCAGGATCCCATCTGCATGGTGCATTGGGGACCCTTTGTTTTACTTGGTGACGAGCCTCGTCGTACCAGCAGTGTCAGCCCAAGAGCCTTCTCCAGCTCCTTGCATGTTCCTCCCTCCCCAGCGATCACCCAGCTCAGGACGGCAAGCTGGACATCAGGATTTGGCTGCCGAAGAAGCGAGCAGGCGGCACCGATCCGCTCGCCGTCCGCCAGCCGGGCTGCCTCGCTGCACACGAAGTGGGCCATGGTTTGGTGGAGGATGGCTGAGCCCACCTGCAGGAAAACCAGGATCCTCCTTCCAACGCTCAGCCTCGAGTGGGGTGTGTACCCCCTTGAGTGGGGGGGGTCCCCACATTCCACCCCTGGGCTCACCGCCAGGAAGGCCACGGGCCATGATTTTCCTGGCAGGCAGTGGTACCTGCAGCTCGGCACATCCCGGCTTTCCCCCCGGCGGGAGGGTGCCCAGCTCGGTGCCGACGGCAGCGCGGATGCTCTGGGCGAAGCCGGGGCTGAAGGATGCGGGCAGGAGGGCGAGGATCTGGAGGAAGGCAGCACGGACGAGCGGGCAGCGCTGGGCAGGGGTGAGCAGCCAGCCTCGTGCCTCCAGCTGCAGAACCACGGGGCGCAGCGCCTCGGCCGATAACCTGCAGGCAGACGGGCAGCCTCACCGGGGGTCCCGCAGCACGGGGGTGGGCGCTGCTTTTCAGCCCAAAAGCTGCATCTCATCACAGAGTGACCGCAGGGGCCGTGGGTGGGGGGATGGCGTGGGACCACTCACCCACTGGTGCCCGAGGCCAGCAGCGCCCGCATCTGCAGTAGGCGC